CTCTCTCTCTCTCCTTCTCTCTCTCTCTGTCTCTCTCTCTCTCACGGGGAGGGGAGATGGGGGAGTGGGGTGGAGCACACAGTTCTGTTCCGTGTGGGTCCTGCCCTGAAGCCCTTTTTACATGGAACCAGAACAGCTGCATCAGCAGTACATACTATGAAGGAGCTGAATTGTGCTTGTCTTGAAGTATCTGACTGCATTCTGCCATTCCATGCTGGTTTGCCTCACCTGGTGTGCAGTGGATCTACCCCACTGTGGGTGAGTTGGCTTTCATTGTTTATTTCAGCCTCTAATTTGATTCACATTTACATGAAATGGGCAAAAGGAAGGAAGAACAAGGACAGTTGCACAGTAAATGTTGCTGAGTTTTTTCGGTTCCTGTCCTTGTCTCTATGTCTTTGCAGCAGGCGTAGTTTGGCCTCCTGTTTTGAAGGGTCCTCTGTGAATCTTCATGCACATTTTGACAGGGCTGTATGGTTACTCCCCTGTGCCAGGTGTGGTTTGCAGGAACCAAAGATACAAGATGCTGGTCTGCCTCAGTCTTCCTGCCTTAATGGGCTCGAGTTGTGCCAGGGGAGGTTTCAGTTGGATATTAGGAAGAATTTCTTTACTGAAAGAGAAGTGAGGCATTGGAACAGGCTGCCCAAGGAGGTGGTAGAGTCATCATCCCTGGAGGTGTTCAAAAAATTTGTTGATGTGGCACTTGGAGACATGATTCAATGGTCATGGTGGTGTTGGGTAATGGCTGGACTTGATGATCTTAGAGGTATTTTCCAACCTTAATTATCCTGTAATTCTATGCCAGAGTGCTGTCTTCTGGGCATGGAAGTGGAGTTGAGAGCTGCCTTGCAGCATGCAATAAGTGATGGGGAGTTGAGGATGAACCATGGTTAGGACTGATAAGGAAGCAGGGAGTGTATTCTCACTTAAATGCCCCTTCTTCACCATTCTGCTTCCACACCAGCTCCTGCTGCACCTCTGTGCCATGCAGCAGAAGCCATGGGTACAGGAAAAGTGGGTGTTAGGAGCTCCTTCATCCTGTGCTGCACCTCAGCCTCAGCCTGTCCTGGGCTTGGAGCGGCAGAGGGAAGAATCATAAAACTGAACAAGAGCCCTGAGGAATTGTCCCTTCCCCCTGCATGGGTGGGGGAAATGAGGACCAGAGTTCAGCTTTTGCAGGCACATCGTTGAGTCTTTTCCGGTGTACAACATTTATCACTGCTTTCTAATTCTGCTTTTTGCTTGTAACTTATAACAATCAGTCCGGTACAGAGATGAGGCTTGCCTGAGTTTTGACGTTCCCTGTGCTCGCCCAGAGCTCTCTGTAAAAAGCCAGTGTTACATTTTCTGGTTTCCTGTAGCACTGAAGTGAAAGATGATATGCAGTGGCTCAGCGCGTAATTCATCAGTCTCGTATTTGAGTTCTTAAAATCCCAGTACTTTGTCCTTGTTCACTTCACCAATTTATTATAAAACCTCTCATGTTAACTCTTAAGCTTGAGACAGTTTCATATTATTTTTCATAAGAGATGTATTGCCCATACTAGGGCCAGCTCCTGCCAAATTTTCAGCCTGCTGCAAGGCACGGAAGCTCTGGTTTTACATATATTGACGGTACTAGAACGGTACAACTTGGTATGACTGCTCTTTATTTATAGGGTGAGGAAACAAGTGTTAGCCCATTGATTAAATATAAAGTACTGAAAACAGAATATTGATTTTGGTTGAATCTTTATGCTGCTGTAAGGTCTCAGTTCTGCAGTAAGATCAGTGTGGGAGGTCTCTGGGATCTGAGTGTGTTCCAGGCATTGAAATCTAAACTGACCAATTTAAACTTAAAATGTTGTATGAATTTGTGAGGAATCTTTGTACAAGATGACCTGAGAATTATTTTTTTTTCTTGACTCCAAAAGATGTGGAGTAAAGTAAAAATCTCTAGTACGTGATGTTTAAAAAAATGCACTAACCAGTCTTAACAGCTTGGAGAGATGAGTTCATATCTTGGAGCTGGTCTAACTACCGCCCCCCAAGAATTCTAGTCTTTACCTCATTAAAAAAATCACAACTTTGTAACATAAAGTGTCTGCTGTGATAAATAAACGACCTATTTTGTAATTCACAGATCATTTAAACTCTAGCAGTTTCTTATTAATCTTGATAGTATGCTTGACAGACCAGACAAGTATACATATTTTAAAAAAAATGAGCTTTTAAAATTTCTGATAGATGCAGACACACATAGAATTGTTGCTAAAATCTCATTAAACTGTCATGTTTTCTGTTCTGGTTTTGCTAATCATTACAGCATTTGTGTAAATTGAACTTCTTATCCTTGTTTTTTCCTGACTGGCTTGTTCAGAGAAGGTACAATCTTACTGTGTGCCCCATTAGCTTATTGTGGAAATGCTGACACCTTCATCACTAGAGCTGCAATGTGGCTTGTTAGGGAAAAGCTGATGTGATGTACCACCACACTAACTTGGAAGTTGTCTTCTAGAGCTACTAAATGCATCTGCAGTGCTGGGGGTGGATCTGGATGCTGACCTGGTTTTATGTACTGTTGTAGGTTAGACATAAACATTAGCTCACTGCCCATCTGTTTGGACCACTGCTGAGCTTTCTCTAGAACAAAGCCTGAGTATAGTTCTGCCAGTGGCTTACTTGCAGGCTGCTGAGGAGGGCAGGCTGGAAAAAAGACTGCAAGGAAGCAGTCATCCTGTACTGGCCTGTAGTGCAAAGCCTGCTGAGAGTGAAGGCTTAACCCTCCTCCCTCCCTCAGGCCATGCTGAGGGATGCGCAACTCTGTTTCATGCTGTGAAAATACCACTCTGATGGGCTGCAAAAGAAGTCATCTCACTTCTTTATGCACTTTGAACTGAGACATACAAAATAAGCTTGTGGTGTCGTGAGGCTCCTAAGATGTGGAGCCTTGAGGAAACCCAGGGCCAAGTGCTATGTAAAGCTGATGGAGCCTTGAGTAGGAGGAACACGAGCCAGTCTGTGCCAATTGGCCTCAGGGCCAAGGGTCAGTCCCTGTCCCTGTCTGTGTTTAGCAGCATAGACGTAGCAGGGGATTGGACCTAGAGGTTATCTTTGCAGAATTGTGTTAGATGATCCTATAATAAATTTATTGAGCTCCAGCAGAACAGATGGATGTGTTGACCCCACAGCTCTGATCAGATTCACTGTCTGATGGCTAGAAAACTTCCACCCTAAATTTATTTGTGGTTAGTTTATACATTCTTGTGTGTGCCAGCATTGTTCTTTTAGCTTTTCCTCTTCACTGCAATCAACCCTTCCTTCTTTCCCTCCTTCCCCTGTGTGCTTACTGATAACAATAATATTTTGAACTTTTGTGGTAGGGCTAAATGGCTCCTGTCACTCTTGAATTTTACTCTATCTGGAAGCTTGTTGGCTTGAAATTCACTAGTGTCTCAGTTATTGACATCTGCTGCAATGCACTGTACGTACCTAACTTGCACCCTCAAGTGTGGGTTCTTCTCAGCTCACTGTTAGGTTGTGCATGATTAAAAACGTTTTATATTTACTTGTATCATAAGTGTAACCTGAGCTGCTACCAAAAGAAAGCATCAAAATGTTGTAGGTAGTGGTCAGTCCACCTTAGAGGATGGAACTGTCTGCAGGGTGTTTGGATGTGACAGGATTAGTGATGTGGATCACCTCTACGGATACTGCACATTCCTTATGAGAGGCCTGAAGTAGATTAAACCTTTTTTTCCTTCTAGCTGTAGTGTATGTTTGAAGAGTTTAATAGTATAGCCTTGTTACATCAGAAAGCACAGAATGTTCTGCAGAATGCCATTTTTCACAGCACAAAATCGGGCTTTCATTGTTATGTTGGAACTGGCTCTTCCCAGGCTGCCAGTGACAAGAGCAGGGATGTTTCTCTGCACATAACACAAATAGAAGGCTAGTTTTGAATACCTACTTTACCAAGATGTTGTAAGTTCTTCCTTGAGCATTGCATTCAGTACCATGAGCAGAATCTTCTTAATAACAGACAAAATTCTGGCTTTCAGAGTGAAAAGTGAGTCCCCTCTATTTCTGTTAGATGAATCCAAGGATTTGACGATGCTCAGTGTTCTCTTGCCAATCATTCAAAATACATTTTTCTCCTATTAATGCAAGTCTTCCCACCAGTGTTAGTTGCTGTGCCCCTGTTATGCCCTCTGTCCCCACTGCAACCTAACACCATCCAGTTGACAACCAGTCTC